GAAAGTATGTTTCCCCTGCACCCTATTTAAAACTGTTTTGGTGGTTTGCATCAGACCTAAGTAATATCCACGCTACTCTAGAGTAGGCAGTGGTGGCTAGAGACCACACTTCCCTTCAACCCATCTCTGCTTCACCCTTGTAAACCAAAACATAAAACCCAACGAAGAAAGAAACTTAAAAACTGAATTCAGATTGCAGCACTTCATTAGTAATAAAATTCTCTCCCCGACATCCTTCTAGAAAACAATAAAATAAAAATAAAAGAGAAATCAGTAGCTACTGGATAATTTCTCTGGTGAATTTATCTAACGTTCTGCAGTGGCTTTCAAGGTCCTATGTAGTTCAAAATTTATGGCTAAAAGAATTGCATGAAAACTTCTAGCAGCTTTCCATCATGTTTTTCAGAAGTTGAAACATCTTTTTCCATATTTCATCGGAATACAAGAACCAATTCCATAGTTCAAAAACAGCCAAACTACTCATTGTGATCAGAGCTAAAACTATTCTAACTGAAAGTAAAAACACCTAATAAACAGTGACTGCTTAGTTCAATGCTCGCCCTCAATACAGTAGGATGAAGCGGAGGCTCAGCTCAGCATTTCCTGGGCGCTAAATGATGTGTCAGGCACTGCTGAAGACCCCGGAGATAGAGAACTGAATAAAATTGAGAGGATTAAAGGTTTAATGGGCAAGAGAGTTCCGTAAAGATATGACTTCAGTTTGATATCGTTACCAGCTCAGTGAGAGGTCTGTATCTCATAGGAGATATTTACCTCAAACTGGGGCATTCAAAGCAGGTACCCTCAAGAAGATGACACTTGAACTAACTCTCAAAAGATGAGTGAAAGTTAGCCAGGTAGCAGGAGTTCCAGACATCCTGAACAAAGGCATAGCTGCCTAAATCCCTCACACTATGTATATGTACAGCGACACAAACGGACTGGGAAAGTGTGAGCTGTGGTGAGATGTCAAGCAGCAGTCAAATCAGAACCAGGTTGGAGACCCTTGGTAAGCCCAATTAAGGAGTTAATAATAATAGTAATAACAAAAGCTGATATTTATTGAGCACTTACTATGTTGCAGGCACCATGTTAAACATTTTAAAACAAAATTTTATTTAGTTCTCACCATAACTCCATAATCTTCTTTTTTTTTTTTTTTTTTTTTTTTTTTTTTTTTTTT